ACACACACACACACACACACACACACACACACACACACACCTTTTACATTTATATGGCTTCCACCTTGCCCTCTCCACTGTTGCAGCTCTGCTTGCAGCTCTCTGACAGTCCAAACCCTGGGCTCAGTCCAACTCCTGCACCTGCTGTTATCTAACCGCTCGCACTTCTTCGTGGAGCATTTTATAAAATAAACCCTGGCGTGCCATATTTTTCAGTTTTCACATCTGCATAAACTTTTTTTTTTTTGCCACACGCAGAAAAGTCATGCTGGATTACAGGAAAGACTCAAAGTACAATTACCCAGGGTATTTACTTGAACAGATGCATCAACAATCCCACCCTTTTACACTGGAGCTTCACGCGCAAATTCATTATCCCACAACGTTGGACTAATTGCATGTACTTTTGACCAGCAGAAGTTAACAGGTCTGCATATTCTGGTCTCTGACTCATCTGCACCCACACTGATTTCTATTTGTTGCTCCTTCTCTCGGCGAGTAACACCACGAGGTCCATGAAAAGATATGTCATTAATTAGAAAGCCTTGTTTTGTTTCTATCGCTGCATTGACCAATGCACAGATCCACTCATTACGCAGACACGCAACTACAAACAAGACTCAAACAAACAAGCCAACGGCAGACATGTGAGGAAACAGATGAAGAATGTTAAGAGCTCGCAGCTAACAAAAGTAACTATGGAAACGGCCGGCTCTACATTGCACTGGCTTCCACGGCTCTCTCCAGAAATAAAAACAGTTGGGCTAAGAGCGAATCAGGTAAAGACAAAAGATCCCGGGTGAACCTATTTATAGTGGGCCTTACATAACGTACACAGACCTATGTTGGCTGAGGCGAGTTTGGTACTACACACTGAGCTTCCAAGGGGAGGGAGGGCAAAGGCAAACGCATGTACAGATGCTGGCTCCTCCAGGCGCATTTTACACGAAGGCAACAGAGTATAAACAACAGCTAGTGCAGCGTGGATCGTGCCGCTCGTGGCGACTGGATTGGAGGAGACAGAGACGGATGCACCGTCCTGTCAGCGGGGTCCAAAGCGGGAGTTTCACAAACAAAAACTGACCCACGGCTCAAGGTTTTCACATGGATCATCTGTCCCGGGAGGCAAAAAGTTGGGTCAGAGCGGAACAACACTTGCAAACACGTATTATCGTGTGGCCTTAGAATGAAAAAATAAAAAAAATAATTTAAAAAATGGACATTTACAAGCCCACATGTCTGCGCGAGAGCCCCTGTAATTGCGTAAAGCCCGAACAGTGATCATGTAGAAATACAGCCTGCCAACATATCTTAAATCCTAATTGAGCCATTAGCATAATTATCCACTTATACTGCTTTAATTCTAAGTAGCTCTCCATTGTAAGTAAAATGATAGCTAAGCTGTATTGAAAAATCCACTTTTTCGCTCACAAATGCCTTATTAATTAGCTCCCTCTAGAATACCTTCCCAGTAATTACATTCATTACACGAGTCGGTGCTGTGGACAGGGAGGGCCACTATTAGACAACTTTATAATTACTCTGCACATCTAAAATGATTTAAAGGATTTCAAAAGAAATCGAAGAGACGTTTCAGTTCGGCGCTGAATTCCGACCAAACCCGCTGTCGTACTACCTGTTGGCAGTTCCAAAATATGAAGCGTACACAAGTTCTGATAAGGTTGGGATGGGATGACATGCAAATGAACACTGACTCATCTGTTTATTATGCAGTCACATTAGTTAGCTCTGATGGTGTTTGGCTATTATCCCATCTCTCTGTGAAAAAAGGGTCTTGGGTGAGGGAGATGGATTGCGCAGTGAGTGCTTTAGTCACACAGATTGTCTGCACTCTTCAAAGAAATAAAATGAATGCCACTTTACTGTATGTATGGGGGGACAAGGACATCAAATCCAACGGGAAGGGAGAAAAAWTATGAAAATGTGGCTTAGTTGCTTTTAAGATCCACCAATGCTGTTCTCTATGTTAATGGGTCAAAAGGTCAAAGAGTGTTTGATGACTTGCAAACCTCCAATAAATGTTGCATGTATTAGCTGCACCATCTGCAGTTATCATGCATGGAGGGAGAAGCTGCACTGTAAATTGTAAGACATTTGGCAAAACCACCAATGTGCAGCTTCACAGCCTACTTGCTGTTCTGCTAACTGATAGAGGGGCTATTTTTAGCGGTGCAACCTTACAGCACCATGCTAAGCTTTCAAAACCACACAACCGCACATCTAGCCCATTCAAAGGATTCATAAAAGTCCAGAGGCTGGAACCCGGCGGTCATGTCCGCACAGCGAGCGCCGGCAGGATCAGTGTGCACCCAGGATCAGTGTTTTATTTTATGGTGGCGAAGCATTAATAGGAACATTGCCACTGTGCGCGGCGGCGTGTGAATGTATGCCAGCGCATGTCAAGGAGTGAAAAGAATTTGCCATCAATGTACTCCATGCCTTTTGATGTGGGGGTAATTAAGCACCAAGCCCTCACAACAACRGTGCTCCATGGAAACTGTGATAAAAAGCAGCAGGAAAAAAAAATACAAGAAAAAAATTGACGTCAGCTAGAGAGGCCTTCGAATGYGCTGTTTGAAAAAAGGAGGAAAAAAATGAAAATGATCAGGCTGTTGTGTTTAAGGTCACAGCGACGAAGCTGCTTTGACTGGCAGGAATGATGACATCCTTCTTGTGCAAAAAGGATTTAATAAGTATTATTTATATACCTTCAATTGTCTAGGAAATGAAATAGAACTAGAAAAATGAAAATACAATTTTTAATGATGCTGTTTAAATATCCTGATTTAAAGTGTGTGAAGTAAACACAAATAGGCTATTAGAAAAAAACTAAGCATAATGTGGAACGCACTTATTAGCAACTAATTACTGAGGTTTAAACATGTTAAAGGAGGAATTTCACTAATCTGAGATTATAATAGTAAAAATGTGTCCATAATGAAAAGCTACCAAATAAATGACTTATTATGGCCCACTTCTGAAGGCAAAATGACCAGGGCAGGCCCGTGGTGTAGACAGGCAATAAGGTGCTACAAATGGGGGACTGGGAAAAAAAAATATTTGTAAAGTTTTATCTTATTTTTTATGGAATAATCACTGGTTGCTCGGGTTATGAAGGTAACGTGCTGTGGATTTCTGTCTGCTTGTTTGGTTTGATTTTCTGAGGGAGAATACCCTTGGACCCCCCACCCCACCCGCCACAGTTGCTCATTAACATGAAGGTGTTGCTGTCAGCAAATGCTGGAGGTATGAGGTAGACTATTTTGTATGAAATTAATTACATTGAATATTTTATTTGGACAACTTGAAAGATAAAAAATAATGTACGTAAATTAGCTGTGAGATTTAGAAAATTGCACAAGAGGTGTCGACTGAATTCTTGCCTAGGGCACCAACTTGGCCGGGGTCAGCCCTGAAAAGAACAATCGTGTTTTTTGTTTGTAATGTTAGCAAAATATCTCATCAACCACTGGATTGATTCTAATGAAACTCCCAGAAAGTAATCATTGGATGTTTAGTCACAATTCAAGATGGCAGTCTAAGTTTATTAACCAAAACAGAAATGGCTGTAGGTTAGTCAAATTTACAGATATTAACATTTAATGTTGTAATAGCTGAGAATAATCCCCAACACAAACTCTGATGGCTAAAACATCATGGGAGATCATATTCTTCACTACTCATCTCTGGTTTTGTTTTTCATTTTAGACTGCATTTACATAATTTTGTAAACTGTTGGATTTTAATATTTTTATTTAAAACATTACATGATTCTGTCCCATAAAACTGGGAATGATATAACTATTTTACATAGTGAAAACAGCCAAATATTCTAACTTTTAAAGATAAACTAAATGTTTTAGCTACATTAAGGCTCATCATCTTAAATACCAAGTTATGGGCATTGTTCTCTCAAACTTCATCAATAAATCTTTTTATTTCTACAACTACTGATCATTTTAAAGGCCAAAGCTCATCATTATCAGGTACGACATCAAATAAGTGCAGTTAGACAAAACAATAAAAAATATAAAACAAGTATTTAAATTGTTTATTGTTTTTGGCAATAACAAGTCAAATGTTAGTTGTATTCCTTGCCAGACAAAACCACACTGTACACAAAATATTTACTTTTTGAAACCGTTGTTTTATAAATTTGAGGCAAGACAAAAAAAAAAAACACTTTTCAAAAGACTGGGATTTAAAAATTAAGCAATAAAATGATTGATGATTTGAGACAGATCAAAATCAAAACATGATTGATTGATTAATTTCAGTTAATGTTTTTTTACTCAGTGAAATAACCTGAATAACTTCCCCAAACACGTCACTTCCTCAAGAACATGTTACTCAAAACGTCCTCATATTAAGCCTGAAACCACAAACTTTCCTTTAGCCGAGCTGACCTGGAAGGAATATTCATGTCTGTCTGTTCGACACTCAAGGTGCAGACGAGTAAAGATGCAATTTATTTGTTTTATTAAAAGAAAAAAACAGGCTTTACCTGCAGTAATACAGTATCTTGCACCATTTAGACAGACAGGCCAGCTGCACATGTGTAAAATCTGTTTTTTATTTAAAGGGCTGATGAACGATGGCAAATTTCTCTTCTCTGAATGTATTTCTGTATTTTAACAGTCGATGTTACCTGAATACTGTCTTCAGTGACAGTTAAACCCAACAAACAGTATCAGTAATGCTCAGCCATCATTAATACTGTCAGCGCAGACCAGCCAGTGAACGGGTGGCACCCTTGGCCCTTGCCAGTGCTGTCATTGTATTGTTCCCAGACGTACCCTGTTTCAATGTACTGCTTGTAAACATTATTGATGATATTAGTCCTGAGTTCCTGATAAAGAATAGCTGCCTTCTCTTGGTATGGCCCTTTTGTGCTGCTGTAGTGGTGGAGGGCTCGGACCGCCAAGTAGTTGATGTTAATCCATACGGGTCCCCTCCAGTAGGGGGGGTCGTGTTCTGTATTTCGCTGCATATAGAGCGGATCGGTCTTGGAGAGCGAGCGCAGGCCGTAGGGAGTCCACAGCTTGCTGGAGTCTTTCATATCTTTAAMGATGTGTTCCAGTTTGGGTGAATCTGGCTCCAGGATCTGCAGTAAGAAGGGGAACAAGCTAACGTAGCCCAAAGCATTAACGTACTGCAGCTTAGGGGCCTTGCGGACKGAGCGCACCAGTCGTGCTACGGGGAACTGGTGACGAGGTTGTCCTGGGGGTACGTWCACCTTCTCCCTCTGGAGTGACACAGCTTTGGTGTGGTTACCAAAGTCACAGAAAGCACCGTGTTGGTCTGACCAGTGGAGCTCACTGAGCARGCGATTGTCACTCAGCACGTCGTGYAAGAGTTTGTATTCTTCGTGGGGCTCCCCTAGAAGTTTAGCTATGCTAGCCATGATGCCSGAGGACAAGGCCATCCAGCAGTGTAAATCCACATGTCGCTCATCTGCTGAGGGGTGTGAGGCCCGTGGGTAGTCATCCAGTCCTGAGGTTAACGTCTTAGGATTAAGAAACAGGTTGGTGTCCTTGTCACGCCCACGCCAGCGGTAGGAATGGGGAAGTGGCCCTCTCTGAGTGGTGTTGTACCACTCAAACCAGGTTTTCAGCCTGGGGAAAAGCCTTCGGAGAAACGGCAAGGTCTGCCGAGCCGCTGCCTGATCTGGATTAGAAGAAAGCTGTTGGATGAGGTCCTGGAGGGCCAGGAAGAGGGTCGGCGGGTTTGCGTTCTCGTTCCTCTGAACGACAAATTCAGCCGGGACTTTGCTGAGAGCCTCGTCTCCGAGGATCTGCTCACGAGGAATCCAGCCCTCCACGTTCATCAGGTCGATCCAGTGGGCGATGGTTTCCCTCGTTATCTGGGGATCCCACTTACTCAGCAGGAGCTGGTGGAAGCCCTCGTCCCAGAGRAAACCTCTGGGGAAAAAAGAGCGCGACGGGACGGCGGTGAATAAAGCCCCTTCAGGGTACAGGAGTGGGTATTCRTTGTAGACTGACTGCACCACTGACTGTCCATAGAAGTAACCCATTCCACCCAGCATGTTACTGAGYGCCGCTTTGGCAAATTTCACTTGCGCCTGGTTAAAACCTTTGCTCTCGAGCCCAAAGATCTTTTCAAACTTTTTGTTAAACTCAGCTTTCCTCCTCTCCAGCTCCTCGGTCATGACGGAGCCCACCARCTGGTTTGGGCGATCGTAGAAGCTTCCAGACTCAAACAGAACTTCGATCTGGAACGGCAGCTGGACTGTCACCTGGTGAACCACAAAGTCACTTTCTTTCCTCGGGTCGGCGTGTTTCTGCTGGTTTTGGTGGTGAGGWGGCTTGTAGGCGTCCAGACCTATGTAATGCCTCTTCTCACTAGARGGGGGGCTGAAGACAAACTTGCGGTTCAGACTGAGTTTCACAATGTCAGTCAGCTTCTCCAAGCCAGGAGAGACAGTTTGGAGGTAGTTGTAACTGAAACATTAAAAAAAGAACTAGAGTTAAATGCTTTGTGCTTTTAAAATCAGTGTGTCAGAAGCTAAAACACAAAACCTGAATTTGCAATAAAACTTCCAACTGCGCTACATTCAAGGAGTGCAGCACATTTTCCTGTCATGTAAATGACTGAGGCAACAGAGAAACTAGAGCTCTAGCTTACTATTTTTTCTACCTTGTAACACAAATCAAATCGTGCATTTCTTGTCTTTTCTTTGACAGCATTTTCTACATTCTGCTTCCACTATTAAAAAAAAACCTTCACACATTAAAAACATCTGCGCTGTTAAAGCTCCAACCTTTACGTTTAGGTTGACAACGTCTTTACAGAAGTTACATTATTTTAAAAGTAAACCAATGTTTAGATAATTGCAGACCAAAAAACAAGCGCTGAAATTCTCTTCTGCTGCCATCTAGTGATTTTTATTTTCCTGTTTTTCTCGTCCAGAAGTTATCTAGGCCCATGCAACAATTGTTCATTCAGAAAATGTAAACGGACTTAAAAAAACTTCTGTGATAAATCATTTAGTATTTAATTATGTTTAGACTTCCCATGTGTACGTTGATGGATACGTTTTTATTTACACTTGTTGGTATAATGTCATCTAATCTTTCTATAAATGTTAAACATCTATGTGGGGGCACTGCAAAATGATGCAATCTYGGTTCGTTCAAAATGTTCTTTTTCATTTATTGCAGATTTTTAAGTCCCTTTTTGTAGATAGATTATTGTTGCACATCTTTAATGTTTATAAGCACAATACCTAATAAAACACTGGACAGATTTTAAGAAAACTCTCAGCAATTTCTAGACATATATCTACAACTGTCAACCGTGTTTTAAAGTAAGTCCAATTCAAGATGGCCGTCATATTTATTCACCTTYGCAGCACAAAAAAGGGCATTAACTCAGACACTGAAGTAAAATCTTGTAAGGTAGTAGCTTAGAGTCCTACCTGGCATACTTGGTGCTGGATGACTCCCCGGTAACAGGTTTTCTGAAGGTGATTTTAAAGTTTCCAAGGTCTTCTGAAAAACCAATGATGGAAGCGAGGCGATTTCTTGCCTCCACGTGAGTCTCTAGTGAGCCCTGTGTGTCTGCTGCTGCGTAAAACATCAAGGAGATGACGGGCGGCCGGGGAGCCGAGCTCTGCTGAGGAAAGACAAAGAAWTAAGTGTCTAAATCAAAACAACCTTTGAATCTTGTGGAAGAACAATGAGCACACGGTGCAGCTACAGCGAACACAGCTGGAACTCACATGCTGTTTGGCTGTGATCCTCCAGGTCCAGTCTCCTCCATGATCCCCACCAAGCCGTTTAACAAACTCGGTCGTCAGCGTGAAGTCGGTGTCGTGGATTTCTTGAACTCCGAAGCTTAGTCCGTCGTGCATGAGCCAGCCATAGCTTTGCAAGTGATCCCCCTGCTCACAAGTGTGCCTTAGATTCATGTCCAAGTCTGAAAACTGATTCATCCACATCAAACCTGTAAAGACATGACAAAAAAACAAGGAATAAAATCAACTACACATCCAGAGCTACCCTATCTGATTAGTGCTCTTGTCTTTAGTCAAAACRATTTATCTTGAGCCTGACTCAGATTCTGGCAACTTACCCGTCACAACCGACCGGGGACTTCTTGTTTTCATGCCGAAGTAGACCTGAGGCCTGTACGAGCCCCAGAATCTGTCTGGTGACACCTTGGCACTGCTGCTGTTGGCATCCAGGACCCGAGGCGACGGGTGCGGAGTGGCCACTCGCTTGGCCAGATTGGACCGCATGTAGACGGCGTAAAAGAACCAGATAAGRCTGAAGACACAGAGGCCGATGGAGATGTTGATGAACACCTTCCCAATGTCCGTTTTCTTTTTCTTGTCCTTGCGATGAAATACAGGGGGCTTCTCGTCCTTCCTCGGAAGCAGAGCAGCATCACCTGTCACCACCCTCTTCCTCTGCTTGCCCATCCTGCCCTTCTAAAGGTACGAACAAGAGACACATTTTAGACACTGAGAAATTCCTATTTTAGCAATATGGGAACAACTGGATGGACAGGTTTGAGCTGAAAATGAGAATGTATTACGTCATAAATTATGAGCAAATGACTGAGAAAAGACGTTGGTCATTTTTTTAATGGAAAGTTGAGCAATGCCTGTGTTATTAAGATAAAAGCAGAGACGCTGGATAAATTATAGGTGAATTAAAAAATGACCATGCTTACTTTAAGCCTAAAAGAGACAAAAAATCCTGCAACTGGAAGAAGAAGCAGATATTTTTTCCCCAACAGAAGATACAAAACAAGACAGTAGTTAATTGAACTGTAACATCATTTCAGACTAATTTGCATTTTTTTCTCCTTCCAACAGCTACTTAGATTTTTTTGTAGCTTTATTGCATTTTCTATGCCCTACACTATTTTTCACTTAATCCATTACATCGAGTTGGAACAAAATATAAAATCACCAAACTGCAGCAGAGTCAAGTATTAAAATAGCCTTTAATATTATTTGAAAAATAAAATACCTTTTAATTATTTAAAGTTTACCAACCTAGATGGAAATTAATTTCCTTTTTTTATTCCATTGCAACTATGATGCATTCAGAGGAAGACATTTTATAGTTTTAAAATCACCCTTGTGCTTTCTGGTGGACAAAGTACTCTGTGACACTGTTACTAAATTACTTCAAAAGTGGTTTGGCATTTGTGAACTGCAATTTTTTTCTAGCATTATGCATCAGTACTGTTTTTGTAATGAGCTATTACACAGGGGTGGTAAAAAGCTTTCTACGTTCCTGCTTTAACCATTTTCTAAAAATCCTAAAACAAGATAAACAGAAAAGCCAATTAAAGGAATAAGACAATTAGGCTAAGTAGATTATTATTTATTGTTTTACACCAAAAAAAGATGCAATATAAGGGAAGTGGCTGACTTAAACAAACCTTTGTTTAAAGTTTACTGTAACAAMTGCTGCTGAATATTTAGAGTATTGGAAGGATTTCTGTTGGTTTCTAACYGGTTCAGGTCCTTTTATAACATGATTAAAGTTAAGATGTCAGTGGCATTACTTAAACACTACTTGTTTTCTTTTCTTCAAATGTTATTTGGCAGGATAACCTCTGTGTTTATGGTTTCTTGCTTCATGAACATCTGCTTTTGGTATCAGTCAGCTCACAGAAAGACGTTCTGATATGTGATCGTATCACATTAAAGAAGGGATTAAGTCACGTTTGGACAAACTAAACAAACTTTACCCTCATTTTTAGATTGCTGATTTTAAGCAATATCTTCATACATCATCCTGATTTCATGAGGGTTTCAGATWTGGCTAATTGTCTTGCTAATTGAGAGTAACTCTGGAAAATCAATCTGTATCCTATTTTTAGTGTTCTTATAAGGRTTTCTTGGCGTCATTTCAAAGAGGAAACTTCATTTTTGTATAGAAAAGTTCCCAAGCTGGTATTGACAACAGTTAGTGTAAAAGGAAAGTAGCAAATATTTAGGAGTTTTCTGCTCACAATCATCATCAGCTGGTGGTACTGCTCAGGAACGTTCTTCAGGATTATATTTTGCACATTTCCTTCAAGGAACCCATTTTTACTCATATTTTGACTAAATCCAATTATCAACATTTTTTTTCAACCCCTGTACTTTAGCTGCCCGTTATCTCACTACACTACTTTCGACTTAACTCATCGTGTGAYGTGACGGGTCCCATTTATTCCACGCAAAGCTGCAATGGAAGTTTTATTGTTTCRTTTACTATAAAACCATTCTTGCCCAGATACAGCAAAATCTGTCCAAACCATGCTACATAGAAAGGAAATGTTTATTTTTCCAAGAATATGCAAT